TAATCTTGTGTCGTTTTTGGGTGACAGGGAAGGGCTGAACCGGAATTGGAACGACACCGACACGTCGGTTCTGCCGGTATACCGGGAATTGATAACCGCCGGTCTGAGAATTTGGGTTTTCAGGTAACTTTGTGAATTTTTCGATTTTTTTCTCTCTCGTTATCGTAAAGATATCATTAATATGAGAGTGTGGAGCAGTGGAGATGTGGATTCAGTGGTGCCAGTGACGGCAACGAGGTATTCGCTTGCAAGGTTGAAGCTGAACACCAAGATCCCTTGGTACCCTTGGTACGTCAAGGACCAGGTTAGTAGTAAATCCCCGGTTTAACATCATATCTTACAAAATGTCCGGTTTAATGATCAGTTGTCGGTCCATCCACATGTGTATGGATATTTTCAGGTGGGAGGGTGGACGGAAGTGTACGAGGGTTTAACGTTTGCGACGGTGAGAGGGGCTGGTCATGAGGTGCCGTTGTTCAAGCCAAGGCCTGCCCTTCAGCTTTTCAAGTTTTTCTTGAGAGGCGTCCCTCTTCCTAAGGCTTGAAGATGATGGATGGGGTTGATATTGACAAAAACAAAACTTTGAGGTTAATAATAGGAATTTGTGTAAAATTGGGGGCCCTAGGAAGGAATTCAAATACGGAAGCGGGGGAATGTGTAATTTTCCTTTTGATCGATCAATGTAAAAGAAAAATCAAAACAAAATCGTTAAAAACGTGTTACGAGTAAAAATCAACGTGTTATCTTTTCACTCTAATCTCTTTTTTTTTAAAGAGAAAAAAAAAAGAACATCTTACGAAATTAATTTGAATTATGAATCGTATTAAACTTTAAATATAAGATTTTTTTGTGGGAACTTCACATTTTATAATAGGTTTATTCATAAAAAAACCCGGAATTTCGAAAAATGTTCTACAGAAAACGTTCAATTTGTAATTCTGTATCTTCCAAAAAAATTCAAAAGTTTTGGGGTTTTATTTTAAATTGTGAAAATATCTTTTGAAGTGAAACTAATATAAGCGTGGAAGGTGTCCGGTTTACTTCCACATTCCGGTTTTCAACGGGTTGTGATCTCGGTTAACCGGAATGATCTGGCAGGGTGTTAACGTAATTTCACATTCTTTAAACCCTTAGCCATCAGCTTTTTCTTCTCTCCACTGGAGGCAAAATTCCTAAACCCTAGCGTCTATTTCCGTCGTCGTCGTCTTCTTCTTCCTCTGCAACCTGTAACCGGAGGCGCGAGGGTAAGAGAAGAATGGAGTTCGAAGTAGGGGAAGATTCCTCACGGAGGCTCCATGTTAAGTTCGTCACGAAGCTTAACCCTCCATTCAAAGTTCCCGCTGCCTCCGTCGCCATCCCTTCCAATCTCACGCGACTCGGTCTCTCTTCCATCGTCAATTCCCTTCTCCTTTCCGGTAGCTTCCCTCTCTCTATCTCTTTGGCTCTTTCATTTCTGTGACTGTTGTTTCGATTGACGAAAGTTGATCCCTATCCTTCAATCTGTGAATTCCCAATTGTTTTTTCTGATTGTGATGTTGGGTCTGATGTTATATCTATGCATATACATTTGGTGTTCTAGAGATACATAGTAGTAGTATGTGCACATGTATTTGCCCATACATGTAGTTTCTTCTTTGCTGGTATTTCAGCGTAAAGAGCCGTGTATCGTGATGTGTGATGTTGTGTCAACCAATTGCATATAGTTTTAGTCGCTTTATAAACGTATGATCACGAGTGTATATAACATAGTTTCCAAGCTTCTTGGTTGGATAAAGGTACATATATTCAAATTTCTGGCTAGCACCTAACTTTGCAGGTTTTCTTGGATGAACAGGGGATCCTGAATGGAAAACTGAAGCATTTGATTTCTTGATCGATGGCGAACTTATTAGGATGTCTCTGGAAGAGTTTCTTCTGGTCAAGGGCATATCGGCGGTAATCTTTTGAACTCTGCCTTAGTCTCTGGACATGAACTATAATATAAGAATTTCTTACTTATAAATTCGGGGTCTTTTAGATAGATTAAGCTTCTTTGTACTATGAGGTTAGTCGGCTCTGTTACAAAGTCAACTAAACTGCTGAACTAAGACCAAACAATGAGTAGAGATGCGAGGATAATTTCAGAAAAAGAAAACTGTCTTGTTGAAGTTTTGTTTTGTTCGATGTACCGCATTTTAGAATGCCATGAAATCTCAATCTTCTGAAACCCTGTTGAATTCTTCATTTGGTGAAGCATACTAAACAGGGTTAGTTTCAATGCAGTGACTGTTGAATTTCCACTATATGGCAATAATATGTTTTGCTTTAGTTGGAAATTTTAACTTAGTAGGTGTTCTTGGTTCGTCCAGGAAAAAACTCTTGAAATTGAATACATAAGGGCTGTGGCACCAAGAAAAGAGGAAGAACCGTCATTACATGATGACTGGGTCAGTGCTGTGGATGGCTCTAATTCTAGGTAAGGTTACGTGTTCACTGCAATATATATAATATGCACGTTGACCTTATTAATTGACCTTCTACGTGTCTTGGTTATGTTGGTGATGTGAATTACATCCTCTTATTAATTTCTTAGCATTAGCGTTGGTTAGTCAACGTGACATGGAAAACCATAAGACTATCATGGTCCATATACTTAATTATCATTATATCATAGCAGAGTTATGAGTAATGTCTTGGTAAAATTCATACTTTTTAGTATAGTATTTATCTGCTATTGTATGTGGAATTGTTAGATGATTCTCCAAGTGTTTTTTTTTCTATATTTTGTTACCTTGTAGTGAACTCCCGTATCTATTTAGAGCATATGTAATTGTAAACACACCTTTTTGAATTCCATTGCGGGCTTGGTTAACTTGATCTTGTTTTCATCATCTGGCAGGTTCATTTTGAGTGGCTGCTATGATGGCTTGGGACGGTAAATATTTGATTTATTGTCCCCTCTCTTAAGCTTCAACCTGTCTCTTCTTCTTGATTGCTTCAAACTTTGGCAAGATCCTTAACTTTTCAGTTTTCCTTTTGAATAGTATCTGGAGTTCTGCTGGATCATGTACACACATTTTAGAAGGCCATGCTGGTGCAATCTCCTCTGTTGCTGTTGTCAACTCCAATGGTATGAACTCAGCGTGACATTTTTGTGCTCTGCCTATTCTATTCTGGCGGATGGTCCTTAGAAGATCAATTATATTTGTCCTTATCCTATCTTTTCTTAATATGCTTTTGGGATCGTCCCATACATCCAGGTGCAGAGGGTGTCACTGTAGCCACTGCATCAAAAGATCGGACATTGAGATTGTTTAAGGTAAAAGGGGGATAATATATAACAGCTTAGGCCGGAGGTTGATGTTTGGTCAACTGATGTTGTTTCTGCCTGTGAAAAGGTTGATCCAGCTGAATCTGTTGATCCTCCCACAAGAGTAAGGGCTTACAAGATATTGCGAGGGCACAAGGCATCGGTGCAAAGCATTGCTGCGCTAACATCCGGGAACATGGTTTACTAGCTTATTCTTTTTTCAAAAGTTAATTATCTTTGGCCATATTAATTGGTACCTTTTAGCTTCCCATCTTTTTTTTTTGTGGTGCATTGTAATTAGATCTGCTCAAGTTCTTGGGATTGTACGATAAATCTGTGGCATACGAACGATTCTACCTCAGAAGGGGAGTCGGTGTCGGTGAAGAAAAGAAAAGGAAATAATCAGGCAGGGGAGACGCAGTCAGAGGTAGTAATGATAAAGTCTGAGTATTGAATTTCTTCATTTCATATTGTAACAATCTGTTTCTGTAAGGAGGGTGACAGAAAAGAGAGGCTGGGGGGAATTGCTTCGACAGTTTTGTTCTCAGTCTGAGTAATGGGTAACAGCTATGGCACTGTATTATTTATTTATTACAGGGGGAAGCTTTGACTACATTTGTGGGTCACACACAATGTGTCTCATCGGTAGTTTGGCCCGAGCACGAGACGATCTACTCTGCTTCATGGGACCATTCTGTAAGGAGATGGGATATTGAGACAGGGAAAGACTCTTTGAACTTGGTTTGTCCTCTTGCTCTCTCCCTTTCTTTCTTCTTTTCAAACAAGCAAGAAGCCTTTCGATTTTGTACTTAGAAAAAATTGTGATTTGAGAGCTAATTTTGTTTATGTCCCATTGTAGTTCTGCGGGAAAGCTCTGAACTCGGTGGATGTTGGTGGTGAAAGTTCTGCACTTGTAGCTGCTGGTGGTTCAGATCCCATCCTTAGAGTGTGGGATCCTCGTAAGCCAGGTGAAATTCAAACTTTCCAAACCAAAAAAAAATCTTTTTGGTTCCTACGTTTCAAAATTAGCATACCCTGTTTCTTCGACTCAATCCCGGAGCCAACATGAATAGGGTAAACATGTTTTATGTTCTGCTTGTTTGCAGGAACATCTGCTCCCGTGTTTCAGTTTTCGTCGCACACATCTTGGATATCTGCCTGCAAATGGCACAAAACGTCATGGTTTCACTTGCTATCCGCATCTTATGACGGCAAAATCATGCTCTGGGATCTCAGAACTGCTGTATTACCACTTTTCACTCATTTATGTCGTAACCCACCGAATGCATTTTCATCATCTTGCCTTGAGAAATATAACTAACTATTGCATTTCCCCATCGCAGTGGCCATTGTCAGTGATGGATACACACAAGGACAAGGTACGATTTTTTTATAAAAAACGAGTTTTAACCCCATTGAATGTAAAGCTGCATAGCCCATCCTTTGTTATGTTAATCAATGATCCGACAAGGCGCCGTGACATGTGTTTGACAGGTTTTATCTGCGGACTGGTGGAAAGGCGACAGTGTAATCAGCGGAGGAGCTGACTCGAAGCTTCGGATTTCGTCCGAAATCTCTATCCAATAAGGTCTCTCTCTCTCTCTCGCTCTCTATGATCACGAATCTTCCTACACATTGATTTATCGGAAGACCCTTATCCTTAATCCCATCTCTCTGTTGGGTTGGAGCAATCCATTAAAATGTCATTGAATGGATCAAAATTCAAATGTTGTAAGCTCTTTGTTACTTGTCACAGAGAGAGACTTTTTTTTTTGTTATTCTATATGTTTTTTTTATAATCTATACTTTGAATTTTGAAACGAAAGCTGAATCTTCTACACAGGTGCCGAATATTATTGAATATTTCTAATTGGTTAAACAACAAGTGACCAAATCTCTTCGATTTGATTGGCTCCACTCCGGCGGGAATCATAACTGCATTAACTGAATAATAATAAGCAGAAAACAAAATAAAAATGAAAATCTGTAATGTATTGGAATAAATATGAGAGGAGAAAAAGGAAAGCGCTGGAGCAGCAGCACAGCAGTAAGCGCCACACGCGTCTCGGAAACGCGTGGGATTCGCCAGTTTCGATTTTCCACCTACTTTTTTTTTAACCTATATTCCAGTGTGAACGATTCCCAGTTACCTAGGGTGTACTTCCTCCTCCAATCTCCACCGTCCATCTTTTGCCTTACGCCATCTCGACCGTTTGTTTTCTAAAGTACACCTAAACTCCCTAAACGCAGTACAGAGAAACGTCGCCTCTTTCCCGACGCAAACTCCATAACATTTTCCCCCATCACTCTCTCCCTTTTCGCACTGTAGTTTTTCGTCTGCAATATCGGTCCCTTTATCTTCGCTTCTTTGTCCGTGAATTTTATAATTCAGTAAACTGGAAAATTTCTCAGTCTACTGTTCAAACGAAGAGGGAAAAAAAAGGAGATCTTTTTACGAATTTCGCAGCGTCCGGGGGAGGAGAAGAAGAAGAGGAGCTCGAAAAAAAATAAGGGGAAAGGGGAAATCGATTTTTGTTTATTCTATTCCAGCCTTTTGGTGGCAAATTGAGCCGTGGCGAGGTTTGCTATTCCAGTGAAGAGGAACCCTAGACCTCTTCTTCTCAGATCACAGGCTCTCTGCTTCGTTTCGGTAATTCAGAGCTTCTTTATCAGCTCTCCCTTGCTGGGTATTTGTCAAATTAGCTTGATGTTCAATGATTCTGCTTTTAATTCTGCAATTCCATCGTTTTCGGATTACTTTCCGTGCGAGTTACTTGGCGGTTGCGTCCGCAGTTCCTCTTGCGTGTTTTAACACGAAGGGCTTGAAAGTTTGGGTGTTTAGGGTTTGTAATCTGGGATTTTCCCCCGATTCACTGCTTTTGAACTCCGTTTTCCAGCAGGTTAGTCGAAATATCTGACGGTTTTTATCTATGCTGTTTCATTCTCAGTCCATGTATGGGAATTCACTTGCGTGGCAACATTTCCAGTGTTAATTAACTTGGGTTTGAAAGTTAAGAGGCTCCCAATTCAATTAATCTGTAGAGCAATTTGTGTCATGGTTCATCTTTCACACGACACATTGAGCAATGCTGATCAGAAAAGCCTGTTAAGCCGCTTACAGAGTGAAGTGATTGAAAGTCTTTGTTTGAATATTTTTTGTTCCCACTTGCAGTTGTCTTTTGAAGAGTGAGTCTTGATTGGTCGAGCTGGGCTCTTGTTAGAACCCTTGGTAGTATTCTCACTTGCAGTTCCCGTGGAATGTTTCTGCAGTTCTTTTGCATTGTCTGTGACCTGAATTGCCAAATCGAAATCTTGAATATACTAGATAAATTCCAGGTTATTTATATGCTGATATTACTATTAAAGCAAAAAGTTGGTAATTTTTTGGGTTTGGTGAATCATAATATCCTCTTAAATGCTGCTGGAATAATTCTTAAGTTGCTGCTTCTCTGTTGTCAGACAAAGGAACTTTGAATATGCATCGAAATTCTCCAGAGTATTTGAATTATCAATTGATTACCACTATAGATGAAAAGAGAAGTTATTAGTTCGGTAACCATGACATCTAATCCGATGCTTCTGGAGCAATGCACGGGCCACTGTTTCTTGCGATGAGTGGTTGGGAGATTATATTCGCATGGCTTTTTTGGAATGGTATTTTCTGATGCTTGTTAGTGGCAGGTTGATGGATCTACTGCCTATGGAAAAGATTTGCTGATGAACTTTGGTGGTTGGGACTTTAATGCCTAGCAACGAAGTTAAAGACGGGTTCTGCAATTTATTTGAGCTGAAAGATTTTTCCCGTGCTGCTGGACCTGTGACACGGGTTGCAGATACTTTTAGAGGGCAAATCATAGATAAAGATATTGCAAATGGTGGTTTCAACCTGAAGAACTTGAATGCACAACAAGTAGGTAACTATTGTTCTTGCCTTTTGCTCGTGAATTATATCTTGGTGCCTATTGGAAGTAAAATTCACCTGGACTGATGATGCGTAACTGAATCCAGGGGTTGTGTCCTCAAGAAACTTCTATGCGAACCATCCGGCGGTTCGAAATGGTTTCCAGGTTGAACTACGGGATTTCCAGGGAATGCAAAATCAACAGGGCTTATTCTTGGATAGCTTAGATTTTAACCAAAACAATATAATCTCAGGGGTGTCATCTGGTTTTAAGTTTCAGCAAGAAAATGACTCTGTGGGCAGTCCAACCTTGACAACAAATTCAGAAAGGTCTGAGATAACTGAAGCTTCAACCGATTTTTGTTTACAAAGAAGGCAACAAGATAATTTTTCTGTCCAGCAACACCTGTTTCCACAGAATAGCCCTATGCAGCAATCTGGTTTTGATGAGATGCAGTTGTTGCAACAGCAAGTGATGCTCAAGCAACTACAGGTTCTTCAGAGGCAGCAACAACTTCAGCAGCAGAACTTTTTGAGTCCCTTTTCTCCGGCCCATAGGCAAGCTAGCAGTGGGCAGTTTCCACATCTGGTTGATGGAATGCCTCTAGGTTATGCATCACAAGGATATATGAACTGGCCACAGAGGAGTGCATTACCTGCTCCACAAGGAACACTGAACAGAACCTTGTTTTCCATGGGTCTTGATTCTCAGCAGCTCGATGCTTCTTTATACGGTACTCCAATTGCTAATGCAAGAGGCAATGCTGGTCCACTGTCACCAATGCAAGCCATGTATCAGGACTCCAGTAGTCTAGCAGCTAAGAGCACTGGTCAAATGCAGAAACCTGTAACGCATTTGTCAGACTTTAGTAACCCATTCCTGAAAGATCAGTATAATTTTTCTCCTGCCCAGGTTTCGCTACAACCGGGAGCTTTTATGTCGAATTTGGGGTTGCAAGGGAAAGGTATGCCAGAGGTTAGTCCTGTTCATGGTTTGAACAATGGGCTTTTATCTGGCGATCTTGTGCTGGGAAATTCTCAACACATCAGCAAACCTTCAAGTGCCTGCAGTGAGAGTCAGGGGCAAGTGAGCTGGTCCTCAGCTCAGCAAAAAGGTACAAAACCATCTCAGGGTTTAGTTCCTCTTGACCCATTAGAAGAGAAGATCCTGTTTAATATGGAAGACAGTAGTATATCTGAGATTGCATCTGGAGTCTTTGGGGACAAATATGACAATTTCAATTTCACCAACTCATTCTCTTCCATTCAGAGTGGAAGTTGGAGTGCTCTAATGCAGTCTGCTGTTGCAGAAGCTTCTAGCAGTGATACTGGTGTTCAGGAGAAGTTTAATGGTTTGACGCATCAGAATATGGAACTATTGGCTGATAATAGCGTGTCAAAATTTATAGATAGCGATAAGCAACAAACAGGTTGGATGAATGATAGCTTGCCTGGGTCAGTACCCTATACTGCGGAATCTTTAGAGGTGGCTAATAATCCCGATGTAAACTCTAGCTTCACTGGTTTTCAGCTGCTCTCAGATCAGCAGAGAGTGGATAGCTGTCAGGGTGGCGGTACTACTGAATCCACTCAGAGATCTCCAAAGGTAATTGGGCGTTGGGTGGATTGTAATCCTCAACATAAGCTACCTGTGGGAGGAAATCGACAGGTACAATCAGATCTGCACTTTAATGATTCATCTGAGGGTAAGATGTACTCCAGTAAGATTCTTGATCAGGTGCATTCTGAAATAGGAAATCTGGCAGCCAGTACCGATGCTTCGTCTGCAAGTAATTTAGGTGGCATGCCAAACTCCTTTCAGTCGTTGACTTCTTCACTTGATCTTTCTCAAGGTGGGAAATTTGAAAATTTACCCGGCCCTCTTGGAAGAGCAAGTGTATTTCCCAATCTCACACGACAGAATGATCCAGCTACAATATCTGCATCTAGTGCTTTGAGTGGAAGAAACGAGTCTCAGGTTCAAATGGCCAATCTACCTGTAGCATCTCAGTCTAACAATGCAAGCCAAATGTCTATTCAAGCTGGCTTACCTCGTCAGGATGCCCCTCGGCAATTCAATGTGTGGATGGACTTACCAGCTCAGCAGGAATCATCCAAAGTCCCCTTGAGTACATCAAAATCATCTGCTGTTTTATTGGGGAGTAATGTCTTAAGATTGCATGGTCTGACTGATGCTTACAATGTGTCACAAACAGTTGGTCTGCCTCAAGTTAAGGGACCTTCAGCTGATCATACCTCTGTTTTAACTGCTTCCAACAAAGACTTTCTTTCTTTCAGCCATCGATCGTTTAACAATTTGCTGGTGGCAAACAATACAGACGCTGATGCATCTAAGAGGGATACAAATTCCAAAACTGGTCCAAATTTCCAGAGAAGCTTTGGAATCTTTGGTCAAAAGTTATGTGAGGAAAACTCGGGACTTAAAATGTCGACGGATACTGGGATGAACTCAATGTCACAGCTTAACCGATTTCCGTTTGGGGATGCAAAAATTAGCTCGATGGTGGAAGCGAGGAAAAGTCTAAATATACAAATTCCATCGCAAAACCAACTTTCAGATGTTTGCTCCAGTGGAATGGTTGACCTAGTCCAGAATCAATCCAGTAGCAGTATGGAACATGGCCATTTGTCTTCTGTGAATGATGCAGATGTGCATGCAGAACAAGAACATGATGCTCAGGACACAATGAACCAAAGCATGGATATCATCATATCAAAGAAACGCAAACTTATGGCGCCCCCATGGCATGAAGAAGCCACACATGTGTCCAAGCGGCACCAAACATTGAGGTCATTATCTTCCTTTCCTCTGTTTCTTGTTTTTTCCCCCTTCTCGGTCTATTAACTGCAAGATATCTCCTTCGACTGCAGTGACGCTGGACAAGAATGGGCCCAAGTTACGAATCGGTTGTTTGAGAAGGTTTGTTCTTTTCTTTTTCAGAAAGACTATTTATATAATCCAGCAGTCATTAAAATGTTACTATATATGATTATACTTATATTTCATCCAATTTTCCTTTTTGGTTTTCTTGTAGGGAGAATATGAGATTTGGAAAGTTGAATCTATCCAACGGTTGCCTCAATCAAAGAGAAGGCTGGTACAGACTGTGCAGTTTATGCAACAGCTTTTTTGCCCTGCACCTGCGTTCATTCTCTTGTCAGATGTAGCATCAAGCTATGCTAGTGTGTTATACTTTGTTGCTAGAGCAACATTAGGCGATGCATGCAGCATTACCCACAAGGGACAAGATGCTTTGCCATCATCTTCGATTGAGGTTAATGAGTGAGTATAATACTGGTAAACAAATCGCATTCCATAGCTAGATATGTATATGATGGTCCTTAAATGTCCTTTTTTCCTCCTTGGATTATATAGGTTATTCGAAAAGATCAAAACAAATGAGAGAAGAAGGGACAGGCAGTATGCTGAAGTTGCTAGAGAGTTAACAGAGAAGATAAAGAAGGTGGAAGGTGACTTGGAAAGGTAATGAACTACTTTTCTGCATCTCCTTAGTTACGGGCTGCATTCATCATGTTTTCACCGATTCCTGAAAATTATACTGAAAAAGCAAGAAACATGCTGATAAGTATTCCAAACTTGGTGTAATGGTGCCTTTTTGGGATGTTTTTGTTCTCTTTTCTGTGATGCAGACTGGAAAAAGCAGCTTCAATGGCAGAAATCAAGATCGAAATAGAGGACTTGGAAAGATTTGCTGTCATGAATCGGTTTGCAAGGTTCCACAGCAGGGCACCACCGGCTGGCAACTCTGGGCCCACTATGCCGAAGCTGATACCTGGGAGATACATCACAGCATCACTCTCTCATAGAAACCTACCAGAGGGAGTTCAATGCCTTTCGCTTTGATTTTGTTCCCGGCTGAACCAGTCGCCTTTGCTTCATGATTGTGTTGGAATTGGAAATCGGAAATGAAGACCCTATGATGGGGCCCTCCCCCCAAAGAAAGGTTAGGTATTACTTTATATAGGGAATCTATGAAGTAATTGCAAAGTACTAGTCTGATTAGATCTTGTCTGATTCTTCCGTAGCTATGGGAACTGATGTCTCCAGGTTGAGGTGGCACGTCAGCTAATGTCAGTAACGAACTCTGTTCGCTCCGACATGTCAGGATCCGGTCTCGTCTGATTTTGTTGGAGGAAAGTGAGGCAACGTCAGATGTGGCGCCCAGCCGTTAGAACATGACATATTATCTAACATACATAAATATATATACATGGTTACATCATCCGTATAAAATCCTATTAATTTCTCTTTTCTGTGTCATTGGCTTTTGTTTCCATGAGATGAGGGGAAAAAAATAGCAGACGATTAATTTCAACCGATGATTATGTCCAATTTAAAGTCCATGGCCCACTTTCTTTTCGTTTTCATAATGGATCTTGATTTGTAAACACACGATGGTATCACCCATTTCCACTTTTTTGTATGTTAGCTAATTACGATGGAGATGACCCATTTTCTTTATACAGATCAACAAAATTGTATCACACATTTTTTCCTACCACAGAATTAGTGTTATATTTTATAAATTTGATTGAATTAAATATATCAATAAATTATATAGTTTAACATTATACCCGTGATTATTATAAAGTAAATTAAATAAATCATTTTTTTTGTCTAAAACCAATTAATTAAAACTATATACTTGTCAATTTTTTTATAAATCACATTTTCCGAATACAACTGATTTACCAAAAATGAAACTCTTAAAATCAGACCATAATCATCTATTGAAATTAATCTTCTGTTATTTTTCCCCCTCATCTCAATGAAAAAAAAGCCAATGACAAAAAAATCAAATGACAGATTTTATACGGATGATGAAACCATGTGTGTATATATATATATATATATATATATATATATATTTATGTATGTTAGATAATAGTGCATGTTTTAACGGCTGGGCACCACATCTGACTTTGCATCACTTTCCTCCAACAAAATCAGACGAGACCGGATCCTGACATGTCGGAGCGGACAGAGTTCGATACTGACATTAACTGGCGTGCTACTTCAACCTGGAGACATCAGTTCCCATAGCTACGGAAGAATCAGACAAGATCTAATCGGACTAGTACTTTGCAATTACTTCATAGATTCCCTATATAAAGTAATACCTAACCTTTCTTTGGGGGGAGAGCCCCATCATAGGGTCTTCATTTCCGATTTCCAAATTCCAACACAATCATGAAGCAAAGGCGACTGGTTCAGCCGACTCCTGGAGACATCAGTTCCCATAGCTACGGAAGAATCAGACAAGATCTAATCGGACTAGTACTTTGCAATTACTTCATAGATTCCCTATATAAAGTAATACCTAACCTTTCTTTGGGGGGAGAGCCCCATCATAGGGTCTTCATTTCCGATTTCCAAATTCCAACACAATCATGAAGCAAAGGCGACTGGTTCAGCCGACTCGGAACAAAATCAAAGCGAAAGGCATTGAACTCCCTCTGGTAGGTTTCTATGAGAGAGTGATGCTGTGATGTATCTCCGAGGTATCGGCTTCGGCATAGTGGGCCCAGAGTTGCCAGCCGGTGGTGCCCTGCTGTGGAACCTTGCAAACCGATTCATGACAGCAAATCTTTCCAAGTCCTCTATTTCGATCTTGATTTCTGCCATTGAAGCTGCTTTTTCCAGTCTGCATCACAGAAAAGAGAACAAAAACATCCCAAAAAGGCACCATTACACCAAGTTAGGAGTACTTATCAGCATGTTTCTTGCCTTTTCAGTATAATTTTCAGGAACCGGTGATAACATGATGAATGCAGCCCGTAACTAAGGAGATGCAGAAAAGTAGTTCATTACCTTTCCAAGTCACCTTCCACCTTCTTTATCTTCTCTGTTAACTCTCTAGCAACTTCAGCATACTGCCTGTCCCTTCTTCTCTCATTTGTTTTGATCTTTTCGAATAACCTATATAATCCAAGGAGGAAAAAAGGACATTTAAGGACCATCATATACATATCTAGCTATGGAATGCGATTTGTTTACCAGTATTATACTCACTCATTAACCTCAATCGAAGATGATGGCAAAGCATCTTGTCCCTTGTGGGTAATGCTGCATGCATCGCCTAATGTTGCTCTAGCAACAAAGTATAACACACTAGCATAGCTTGATGCTACATCTGACAAGAGAATGAACGCAGGTGCAGGGCAAAAAAGCTGTTGCATAAACTGCACAGTCTGTACCAGCCTTCTCTTTGATTGAGGCAACCGTTGGATAGATTCAACTTTCCAAATCTCATATTCTCCCTACAAGAAAACCAAAAAGGAAAATTGGATGAAATATAAGTATAATCATATATAGTAACATTTTAATGACTGCTGGATTATATAAATAGTCTTTCTGAAAAAGAAAAGAACAAACCTTCTCAAACAACCGATTCGTAACTTGGGCCCATTCTTGTCCAGCGTCACTGCAGTCGAAGGAGATATCTTGCAGTTAATAGACCGAGAAGGGGGAAAAAACAAGAAACAGAGGAAAGGAAGATAATGACCTCAATGTTTGGTGCCGCTTGGACACATGTGTGGCTTCTTCATGCCATGGGGGCGCCATAAGTTTGCGTTTCTTTGATATGATGATATCCATGCTTTGGTTCATTGTGTCCTGAGCATCATGTTCTTGTTCTGCATGCACATCTGCATCATTCACAGAAGACAAATGGCCATGTTCCATACTGCTACTGGATTGATTCTGGACTAGGTCAACCATTCCACTGGAGCAAACATCTGAAAGTTGGTTTTGCGATGGAATTTGTATATTTTGACTTTTCCCCGCTTCCACCATCGAGCTAACTTTTGCATCTCCAACAGTGTTGACATGAAGAAAGTCTTTGGTGGAAGCAGTTAAAACAGAGATATGATCAGCTGAAGGTCCCTTAGCTTGAGGCAGACCAACTGTTTGTGACACATTGTAAGTATCAGTCAGACCATGAGCTTTCTGCCAGCTTAAGACATTATTCCCCAACAAAACAGAAGATGATTTTGATGTATTCAAAGGAACTTTGGATGATTCCTGCTCATCTAGAGGATCCTGGCGAGCCGGTAAGTCCATCCACACATTGAATTGCCGAGCAACATCCTGACGAGGTAAGCCAGCTTGAATAGACATTTGGCTTGCATTGTCAGGTAGATTGACCATTTGAACCTGAGACTCGCTTCTTCCACTCAAAGCACTAGATGCAGACATTGTAGCTGGATCATTCTGTCGTATGAGATCGGGAAATACACTTGTTCTTCCAAGAGGGTAGGATAAATTTTCCCATTTCCCACCTTGAGAAAGATCAAGTGAAGAAGTCAACGACTGAAAGGAGTTTGGCATTCCACCAACAATACTTGCAGAGGAAGTATCGGCACTGGCTGCCAGATTTCCTATTCCAGAATCCACCTGATCAAGAATCTTACTGGAGTGCATCTTACCCTCAGATGAATCATTAAAGTGCACATTGGGTCGTACCTGTCGATTTCCTCCCACAGATAGCTTATGTTGAGGATTACAATCCACCCAACGCCCAATTACCTTTGGAGATCTCTGAGTGGATTCAGTAGTACCGCCATCCTGACCGCTACTCACTCTCTGCTGATCTGAGAGCAGCTGAAAACCAGTGAAGCTAGAGTTTACATCAGGATAATTAGCCACCTCCAAAGGTTCCACGGCAAAGAGTGCTGACCCAGGCAAACTACCATTCATCCAACCTGTTTGTTGCTTATCACTATCTATAAATTTAGACATGCTATTATCAGCCAATAGTTCCATATTCTGATGCGTCAAACCACTAAACTTCTCCTGAACACCAGTATCGCTGATAGAAGCTTCTGCAACAGCAGACTGCATTAGAGCACTCCAACTTCCGCTCTGAATGGAAGAGAATGAGTTCGTGAAATTGACATTGTCATATTTGTCCCCAAAGACTCCAGATGCAATCTCAGATATACTACTGTCTTCCATATTAAACAGGATCTTCTCTTCTAATGGGTCAAGAGGAACTAAACCCTGAGATGGTTTTGTACCTTTTTGCTGAACTGAGGACCAGCTCACTTGCCCCTGACTCTCACTGCTGGCACTTGAAGGTTTGCTGATTTGCTGAGAATTTCCCAACACGAGATCGCCAGATAAAAGCCCATCGTTCAAACCATGGACAGGACTGCCCACTGGCATACCTTTCCCTTGAAATCCGAAATTCGACATAGAAGCTCCCGGTTGTAGCGAAACCTGGGCGGGAGAAAAATTATACTGATCTTTCAGGAATGGGTTACTAAAGTCCGACAAATGTGTTACAGGTTTCTGCATTTGACCAGTGCTCTTAGCTGCTAGATTACTGGAGTCCTGATACATGGCTTGCATTGGTGACTGTGGACCAACATTGCCTCTTGCATTAGCAATTGGAGCACCGTATAAAGAAGCATCGAGCTGCTGAGAACCAAGACCCATGGAAAACAAGGTTCTGTTCAGCGTTCCTTGTGGAGCAGGGGATGCACTCCTCTGTGGCCAGTCCATATATCCTTGTGGGGTATAGTCTAGAGGCATTCCATCAACCAGTGGTGGAAACTGCCCAATACTAGCTTGCCTATGGGCCGGAGAAAAGGGATTCAAAAGGTTCTGCTGCTGAAGTTGTTGCTGCCTCTGAAGAACCTGAAATTGCTTGAGCAACACTTGCTGTTGCAACAACTGCATCTCATCAAAACCAGATTGCTGCATAGGGCTATTCTGTGGAAATAGGTGTTGCTGGACAGAAAAATTATTTTGTTGCCTTCTTTGTAGACAAAATTCGGTTGAAGCTTCAGTTATCTCAGACCTTTCTGAATTTGTTGTCAAGGTTGGACTGCCCACAGAGTCATTTTCTTGCTGAAACTTAAAACCAGATGACACCCCTGAGATTATATTGTTTTGGTTAAAATCTAAGCTATCCAAGAATAAGCCCTGTTGATTTTGCATTCCCTGGAAATCCCGTAGTTCAACCTGGAAACCATTTCGAACCGCCGGATGGTTCGCATAGAAGTTTCTTGAGGACACAACCCCTGGATTCAGTTACGCATCATTAGTCCAGGTGAATTTTACTTCCAATAGGCACCAAGATATAACTCACGAGCAAAAGGCAAGAACAATAGTTACCTACTTGTTGTGCATTCAAGTTCTTCAGTTTGAAACCACCATTTGCAATATCTTTATCTATGATTTGCCCTCTAAAAATATCTGCAACCCGTGTCACAGGTCCAGCAGCACGGGAAAAATCTTTCAGCTCAAATAAATTGCAGAACACGTCTTTAACTTCGTTGCTAGGCATTAAAGTCCCAACCACCAAAGTTCATCAGCAAATCTTTTCCATAGGCAGTAGATCCATCAACCTGCCACTAACAAGCATCAGAAAATACCATTCCAAAAAAGCCATGCGAATATAATCTCCCAACCATTCATCGCAAGAAACAGTGGCCCGTGCATTGCTCCAGAAGCATCGGATTAGATGTCATGGTTATTTGAACTAATAACTTCTCTTTTCATCTATGGTGGTAATCAATTGATAATTCAAATACTTTGGAGAATTTCGATGCATATTCAAAGTTCCTTTGTCTGACAACAGAGAAGCAGCAACTTAAGAATTATTCCAGCAGCATTTAAGAGGATATTATGATTCACCAAACCCAAAAAAATACCAATTTTTTGCTTTAATAGTAATAACAGCATATAAATAACCTGGAATTTATCTAGTATATTCAAGATTTCGATTTGGCAATTCAGGTCACTGACAATGCGAAAGAACTGCAGAAACATTCCACGGGAACTGCAAGTGAGAATACTATCAAGGGTTCTAACAAGAGCCCAGCTCGACCTATCAAGACTCACTCTTCAAAAGACAACTGCAAGTGGGAACAAAAAATATTCAAACAAAGACTTTCAATCACTTCACTCTGTAAGCGGCTTAACAGGCTTTTCTGATCAGCATTGCTCAATGTACCGTGCAAAAGATGAACCATACACGAATTGCTCTACAGACTAATTGAATTGGGAGCCTCTTAACTTTCAAACCCAAGTTAATTAACACTGGAAATGTTGCCACACAAGTGAATTCCCATACATGGACTGAGAATGAAACAGCATACATAAAATCGTCGATATTTCGACTAACCTACTGAAAAGTGGAGTTCAAAAGCAGTGAATCGGGGAAAAACTCACAGATTACAAACCCTAAACACCCAAATTTTCAAGCCGTTCGTGTTAAAACTCAAGAGGAACTGCGGACGCAACCGCCAAGTAGCTCGCTCGGAAAGTAATCCGAAAACGACGGAATTGCAGAACTAAAAGCAGAACCATTGAACATCAAGCTAACTTGACAAATACCCAGCAAGGGAGAGCTGATAAAAAAAGCTCTGAATTACCGAAACGAAGCAGAGAGCTTATGATCTGAGAAGAAGAGAAGCCAAAAACGGTCTACGGTTCTTCTTCACTGGAATAGCAAACCTCACCACGGCTCAATTTGCCACAAAAGGCTGGAATAGACTAAACAAAAATCGATTTGCCCTTTTCCTTATTTTTTTCGAGCTCCTCTTCTTCTCCCCCAGATGCTGCGCCAATTCATAAAAAGATCTCCTTTTTTTCCCCTCTTCGTTTGAACAGTAGACTGAGAAAATTTCAAGCTTACTGAATTATAAAATTCACCGGACAAAGAGGCGAAGATAAAGGGACCGATATTGCAGACGAAAAACTACAGTGTGAAAGGGCGGATAGAGAGAGAAACGGGGGAAAATGGTATGGAGTTTGGTTCGGGTAAGAGGCGAAGATTCTCTGTACTGCGTTTAGGGAGATTAGGTGTACTTCAGAAAACAAACGGTCAAGATGGTGTAACGAAAAATATGGACGGTGGAGATTGGAGGAGGAAGTACACTCTAGGTAACTGGGAATCGTTCACACGTGGAATATAGGTTAAAAAAAAGTAGGTGGAAAATCGAAACTGGCGGATCCCACGCGCTTCCGAGACGCGTGATGCTGCTGCTCCAGCGCTTTCCTTTTTCTCCTCTCATATTTATTCCAAAACATTACAGATTTTCATTTTCATTTTGTTTTCTGCTTATTATTTTCAGTTAATGCAGTTATGATTCCCGCCGGAGTGGAGCCAATCAAATCGAAGAGATTTGGTCACTTGTTGTTTAACCAATTAGAAATATTCAATATTCGACATTTTTTTAATAAATAACATAAACCTCAGCTTTCTAGACAAAGATCTTACAATATAAAAATTCTGAAAACTTTTTAAACTAATTTAAGCTAATATAATGATTAAATAAATGTGGACGTGAATTTCGTATAAATTGGCAAGTGCATTTATTTTCTCATAAAATATTATTTAAACCAATTATGTATTTATCGAAGTAAATAGAGATTAATCGAATGGTTATTATAAATTGACCGGCGTATATTTATTTTTTTCATTAAATATCATTTAAACCGTTAATTTAAACAAAGAATAATTTTATATTGGTTTAATGAATTAAAAATGCATACACACAAATGGTCAAACGATAATTAAAAAAAATTACTCGAGTCTAAGATTGTCAATCGGTAAAGAATGAGGTAAAATTTTTTCTCAATCCAAATTCGAGTTTTCATTTTGGTAAAGATATTTACTTAATTTCTCCGATTTTTTTGAAAGATATAGTTAGATAAAAGATTTGGTAAACTTCCAAATTATATAATAAAAAAAATCACTGGAAATATACATATACACTAAATGAAAAAATAGAAGTGTACACTGTACACTGTACTATTACTGTAGGATTGTTTTTTTTTTTAAAAAAGAAAAAAAACCACACACACACATGGGAATCAAAAGTGTTTATACCTTGCAAAGATTCCCAAAGGAATCCGACACAAAAAGACAACAGAGAAAGAGATGATTGGCCCTATTCGCTCTTGATGCCGTTTTGTCTTTTTCCTTTCACTCCTAAAATACATCACGATTCAGAAAAAAAAAAAGAAAAAAAAAGAAAGAGCTCCTATAAAATCCTCTAAACCAGAAATAAAAAAATTCATAGCCCAAAGAACAAAAAAAAAAATGAGGAGGCCTCATGTGGTAGTCATACCTTACCCGGAACAAGGCCATGTTCTTCCATTAATGATCTTATCACAGTACCTTGCAAAACATGGCATCCAAATCACATTCATCAACACAGAGCACAACAACGCTCGTATCATCGACTCCATGAACGAGAACCGTTATTCCCTCGGAGATCGGATCAGGCTCGTTTCGATTCCCGACGGTCTCGAAGATTCCCCGGAAGACAGGAACATCCCGGGGAAGTTGTCCGAATCAGTTCTGCGTCTGATGCCCGCGAAAGTTGAGGAACTGATCGAGAAGATGGTTACGGTTGGGTCAAAACGCGGCAGCGATTCCATCAGCTGCGTTTTGGCTGATCAGAGCATTGGATGGGCCTTGGAAGTTGCGGCCAAGTTTGGAATAAAACGCGCCGCGTTTTGCCCAGCTGCGGCTGCGTCTATGGTTTTGGGGCTCAGCATTCAGAAACTGGTCGAAGATGGGGTCATCGACCTTGATGGTAATTACAATAACCAAAAAAAAAAAAAAAAAAAATCTACCATATGTTTTACATTATACAATTTTTTAAAATTATGAATATGTGATTTTTCCTTTTTTTTTTTTTGAAGGAAATCCGAAGGTAGACAAGAGAATAAGGCTAAGTCCGGGCATGCCGGAGATGGAGACGTCGAAGTTCGTGTGGGTTTGTCTGAAGAACAAACACTCTCAGAGTAACATCTTTCAGCTTCTCCTTCGCAACTCCAAATCTCTCGTCTTGGCTGATTGGTTGTTGTGCAACTCCGTGTACGAGCTCGAGTCTGCTGCGTTTGGTATGGGCCCGCATATTAAGCCCATTGGGCCCATTAGTTCAACCCATTCGGTTGAAGAGGACGCCACGTCAGCAGGGAGTTTCTGGGCAGAGGACCGAGAGTGTTTGGATTGGTTGGACCGGGAGGAACCCGGTTCGGTTATTTATGTGGCTTTCGGGAGTTTTGGGCTTATGGGCCGGTCTCAGTTGGTAGAGTTAGCCATGGGCCTCGAGCTCACCCACAGGTTCGTACCGACTCTCTTTTTTTTTTCATAATTCTTAACCGGGATCCTCGGTTCGGTTTCATTAACCGGGATACATCTGTATAACTTGCAAAAACAGTGTCGAAATCGTAATAAGCTGGAATTCATTTTATATGGGTGATCTGAACAGGCCGGTCTTGTGGGTAACCGGCTGCGACCAAACCGAGGAACTCGCCGTGACACGAGCCAAGGTAGTGAGATGGGCCCCACAAAGAGAGGTCCTGGGCCACCGAGCGATCGGATGTTTCGTGAGCCATTGCGGATGGAACTCGACCATGGAAGGAACCGCAAACGGCGTCCCGTTCTTGTGTCGGCCCGTCTTCGCCGACCAGTTCATAAACATGACGTACATCTGCGACGAGTGGAAGACCGGTTTAGCCTTCGAGAGAGGCATGGTTTCGAGGTCGGAAGTGAAGAAGAAGGTCGATGAAGTTATGGGAAATGGAATGTACAAGAAAAGGGCGATGGAGGTTAAGGAGATTGCCATGAAAAGTTTTGGAGAAGGTGGCAAGTCTCGTGAAAATCTCAACAACTTTGTTGCATGGATCAAGGAATGTACTTGATGACCATATATGTTACTGGTCTTACTTTGCCATAAATTCTTAATATCTGCATATATATATATATACATACATATATATATATATATATTATTTTGTTCACAAACGGAAATAAGGGAATATAAGCAGCCGCCAATAAAAAGGAATCTTGTGGTTTAAGGCTTTAATTAACATATATTGCATGAACTCTCCCTGTATTTGCTTGAGATTCCTCTTTATCTCTTAAATGCCATTTATTCACTCACAAGGTCATGATACTACTTAAAAAAGTAACGGGCTACCGTAAAAGGAAGAAACAATAATTAGAAATTTAGAAATACCAAATTCGAAAGGAAACTATATTAAAAAAACAAAATCTGATTTTACACCATATTTAATATAAAATTATAATTACGTCACCTACCGTATATTTGAATGGTAGTATATATTGTTGCTATCATCAAAAACCATACAGCATTTTCAAGATAACATGTACGAAAACTCAAGATCCAAAAGAAATTCCAACATCACATAGTATTTATAGACATGATAAACAAACCCCCTTTGAGATTTGTTTCGAGTTCCCAATGCCCTCTCTTGATCGAATTATTCAACAAAATCATAAAAACTGCAAATACGGAAACATTCTTGTCATGGCGAATGTATAAGTTCTAAAAATTGGACTGAGCGGCAAAAGTCTGTCCAAATCCCCAGTTCCAGGGAGCAACATTATCCATCTCCAAGAACTTGCCATCGCTCGTCTTGACCCTGAACGAGAGTGCCTGTCCGGTCAGGACAGTGCCGGTCTGCCAATTCATTCCCCAGTTCCTTTTCATCTGGATCCAGTTCGTCCTCGTCCCCTTCACCTGCATTTCCGTAACATCCCCCGCTCCACCGACGTTGAACACTAGGACCATCAGAAAGTACGGGTTCCCACCGAACTGGAACTTAACACCTCCCTGTCTTGTAAGAAAACACACCCATCAAGAAAAAAGATCCATAAACAACAGGGATTATATATATATATATATGTGTTTATGTGTATATATATATATATACCCGTCTCTGGCAGGGGACGCGGCGAAACTTGACAGGGACAACACCGGCCTTGTACTGAGCGATCTTGAGGAACATAGGCATGGAGAGGTCGAAGTGTTTCTGCGGAGGATTGCACCATATATCTGTCTTCTTCTGGTAGTTCGGTGGGCACCAATTGGTGGCCGTGATGGTGATGGAGCCTGCGCCACGTATGCACCACTGCGGGTCGTTGATGCACATTATCTCGAAACATGCACCGCATGTCGCTCCGTTGTTGAACAGAGCCGTGCTCAGAGCCGCCGTTGCCAGGCCGTACCCTTGCTCGGGGCCATACCCGCATGCTCCCTCTTCAAAAATCGATGATAGTGAATATGAATTCGAAATTCCAAAAAAAATATATGCGTTATAGTGGAATTTTATAAATTCCCAAAAAAAAAAAACAATGGAATATTATAAATTTTTTTGGTAAAAGGAATATTATAAATTTTGCCAATCTTAATCGTGTTTTTTTTTTCTAATCACGTTAATCCAAACAAATGTCTTTGATTCTTGTAGATTAGATAGATATAAACCTCCGGAGACAATATAATCATGCATGGGTAATATATATATATACATATGCATGGAATGCATGGCGTACGTACAGATGGATTAAATATTACGTACGGAAAGTTTCTTGGCCTTGAGGACCGCCGTAGAAGGTGGCGCGGTTTTTCTAATCACGTTAATCCAAACAAATGTCTTTGATTCTTGTAGATTAGATAGATATAAACCTCCGGAGACAATATAATCATGCATGGGTAATATATATATATACATATGCATGGAATGCATGGCGTACGTACAGATGGATTAAATATTACGTACGGAAAGTTTCTTGGCCTTGAGGACCGCCGTAGAAGGTGGCGCGGGCGTCGCTTCCCCAGCCGTTACTGACGGAGGCGGCTTTTATGAGGCGGTGTCCCATTGTCACGGCGGCCAATGTGGCCAATGCCACTAGCACCGTTGCGATCCAACGAGCCATTAGAAAAACAAAACAAAAATATATATAACGCGCGTAATATGTTATCCAAACTAAGGGATGGAGAAATGTTGAAATTGCTAACCCATATTTATACACGAATTCAGGGTATGGATTAACACAACATTAAGGGTAATTAATTTTTTTAAATTTCCGAAAAGGAAAATGCAAATATTCTTTTGAGCTTTCTTTTTATGTTTTAATGTCCTTTGCTTAAGAAATTCCTAATTTGTACAAGGTGTTTATCTGTAATTAACAATTTGGCTTATAACATTAAATAACACGCTGATAAATGTCTGCATGCATTTTAAGAAATTATATGTCACTCTTCTAGATGTATCGGTGATATTTTATTTTTTGAAATAATTTTTTTATGCAGTTTGTTTTCTACATAAGGTAAAAAACATATCCAAAAAATATGCTTAGTCTAAATGTGCAAAATTTAAAAGTGTCCGTTTATAATTAAGCGTCCTAATATATATATGAAAATATGCTCATTTGAAATCAAACATGGTAACTGAGAGTAAATTACCATAAACATCTATCAATATGAGAATCTTAATTTGTGTTTTATAAATAACCAATGGATGTGTTTTGTAACATTTTTTTTAACGGTTGGAAATCCATCTCAGAGCCTTTCGGACCCGCGAGACCAAACGACATCTCGCAGAGTAAATCTTTCGGTTCCCACAATAGTCGACAAATCATACGGAACATGTGAATCACCTAAATCTAATTGATTTAAGGATAAATTCTGACATTAGAAAGAATCGAATCCACAATTTCGTGTAGAATAAATTTATCATTTTCCAATTGAGATGAGAATTTTTCTGATGTATAATATTTTTATCTTTAAACACGTGGTTATTATAATTTAAAAGTAACATGTTATATTATGAATTACACGAATGTGACTGATCGGTTAATTGATTAGGACTGCCTCCACCCACTTAAACAGAAATTACCATGAATAAATAAATATGCATATATATTGTATGCAGTTTGTGTAAGCTTGCTTAAGAAGCCTCTTCAGTTCCCGGGGGAATTGAAATTTATCAATTATTTGATATATATATATATATATTATTTAAAAAAGGCAATGGATGTTAAGAAGAATGTTGATTTAACATGTTCATTATTCAATTTTATTATTATATTTTCTGTTCATAAACATATTTCTAAATCCATTAAAAAAAATATCATTTGTAAATGATGTGGTGAAAATTTAAGAACATAATCCAAATTTAAAAATTTATCGGGTAGGAAGACCATATAAAGAAATCCCGTCCTGATATTACCCGAAAATACCCTCCCATTTACACTGACAAGGGTTTGTATATATAACCGAACATTTGAGGGTGTTTCGGTAACTTACAAGGCCCGATTACATAATTGGAGATATTTTTAACCCACATATAAATCGAGAAAATCCCAGGGGAAAATGTCCGTCTTTCCCCGCCATTTGCATATCCCTTGTATTTTATTGTTTCCTTTGTGTTCTTCCCTAATCTCTACCTAGGGCTCAATTCTCTCCCTGGTTATTATACGAGCCTCGAATTTCTCCGAATTTTACCGTTAATTTTTAGATTCTTTCGAAATTTGATATTCGCGAACCCTAATTTTGGTCCACCAATGAGCGGTCCAAGCAGTTCGAGTTGGAGTCCGAGTTCGAGTTTGACTCACTATGGCATCGGCTTGTCCAATACGGTGCAGTCGGAGGTCGCTTCTCACTTGCCGTTGCCATCACTGCCCATATTCTGCGGCGCGGCAGATCCGGATGAGTTCCGGCTGTTAGATGAGCTCGGCGAAGGTAGTGGCTACGGGTCCTTGAATCGCTCCGAGATTCTCTCGCAGTCCGGTCGAATCGCCAATCTGCTACGAGAAACTGACGTCTCGTACTTGTAAGTAATCTCCTGTGTTCTCTTCGTCTTTGGACTCCGTAAGTCAGACAGTGAACCAGTTGAAGTTCTGTTACTCTATTGAAATGGTGAAATGCGGTGGTATCGTGGTCGTGAAGTGTATATGTAGCTGCATCGTCGTTCTTTTGCGAGTTTAGGTATCTACCTTAACTAGCTATTTCAGGAAATGTCGTAGTCAAGCTTGTATCGTATTTTGAGCTGGATATTGCATATTTTATCAATGTTTCCGTAAAGTACCAAAATGCAAACGAGTTTATGCCTTCGGGTTTCTGGGAGTCTTACTGGAGTAATCAGCTGTTTACTTATTGTCTAAGCTGGTTAAAATACTTATCCAATATAGTCCTTTGGAGTTTTATGATTGTGCTTATCTCCCTTGGAAATTTAGTAGGGTAATTGTTGTGCAAATACAGCCTAATTGATTTAACGGACATGTTCTATATTATGGGTGTATATGTTGTTTCTAGGGGCAGTGCTTTCTAAGGTTCCGACCATGGCTGTAGAGGGTGTCAGACTTTTTCTTCCTGGTTTGATTTGCAGGAATCTTAGACATGAGGCTAAGGCGCTGGCTTGTAATTCCGTGGAGCCTTGTGAATTGTATGACCGAGTTCTGCAGTGCAATCGTGATGCATTTGAGTATGTTACCCTCGGTAAATGAAGAATTCTCTTTGTTTACTTTGTTAAAGCACAACTGGGAAATTCAAAGATTTTGAGAGAAATCATTATACCTTTCTGTAAATCAATGTTTTTTTAAAGTAATACTGGATTCTTGTTTTTAGTTCTGCTTGTCAGAGTCCCACGTATGGACTAGAAATTGTGACATGGGCCTGAGTGTCTAAGATTGAGGGAATTATTCTGGTTATGACAAACTAAGTGAACCTTTAGAAGTTTTGTTCTTGTTAATTTATTATGCGATTGCTTCTGACTTATATTATTGAACTGCAATCCTGTCTCAAGTCGGCCTCTGCCTGCTTACTTCTGACATTATATCAAACTGTCCTTTTTCCCCAGTGTTGTTAATACTTGATTGTGGTGGTATGTTTTCATCTTTTTGGCTCGAAACGTGCGGGACTGAGTCTCTCTCCTTCTTGTTTATGTGTTCTATGATGTAACAGATTTTCATTTTGCATGCTCAGAAATTTATCTGGCGATGGTATATAATAAATTCAATATGTTTGTGCTAATTATTTATTACTGTTTTCAAGTTTTGCAGGTCCAACCGGAGATCCAGGGTTTAACAGCGAGGTGCCTCCAAAGAAGCCTGTTGAGCCATGTGTTCGTGTCAAAGTTCGGTCACAGACAGATCCCATCGCTGCTCAAAGCTTTCGATCTGAACCTTCGGCAAATGAATTACGAACAGATTATGTTGTAGATCAGAGCTTCCCGCCTGAACGTTTGAAAAGTGAACTGCAGAGAGATAATTTCGTTCCTCAAAACTCTCGGCCTGAGCTATTTCCTCCTAAAGTACTTGCCTGTTCTTGCAAGCTACCTCTGTATAATGGCTTCTTCATTTTTTGGAGATAACTGAATGAAATTGCAGGAATCTCCTGCTTCCAGGAAGCCAAAGGGCAGGAAGAAAAGTAAAGATGATCCGTCTTCAGTTCAACCGGATCCCTCCGTGCTTCAAGGTTTGTTTGTCTTTTGTTCCCATTTTCATTTTTATTTTTTGTGTTTAGGTTCCTTGACTCTCTAAATAATTATAGTTTCTCATATTTGTATAGAGAACATCGTACAGAGCTTTTGTGAGATGTTGGAGGTCTTCTGTGGAAAAGCTGAATCCCCTGATGATGATAGGGATGAAACGGAGTGGTTATTAGTGCCTGTGGATGATGTTCGTCTTCTTGTAAATGAACTGACATTGATACGCTCAAAGATGCTTCTGCATATGGTTCCTGTTGACACTCTGTCCAGATTGTTGCGGGCTCTTGATCATCAGATACATAGAGCCGAAGGCTTGTCCATTGATAGTGAGCATGTGAGTGAACAACTTTGTCTTTTTTTAAAAGTGATTCTGTCTCTTTTTTCTCCTTTTTGGGCATTATGGATCCGTGCAAAATTTCCATGTTGCATATCATGCACGGCATATTTATCATGTGGTCTTGCTCTCCATATAAACTTTTACAGTTTGATCTTTGAAGGAAATTTTATATTTTGACTTGAAAAGTTTAAAAGACAATTCTGTATTACATTTAGAATTCGATCATTTTATCGTGGTATGATATATTAGCATGTTTAATGCTTTTAGAGTGACAAAATAGCTATCCTTTAGCTGACATTTTGTCCCTCTAAAACATTTCAGTCGGATTCAGAGACTGTCTCGTTGGTTCTTGGTGCCCTTGAGTCAATCCATGCATCGCTTGCAGTGATGGCCAACAATCACATGCCGAAACAACTTTACAAAGAGGAGGTATTTGCTAGTTCGTAACCTCTGGGACGAGTGTTTCCATAGTTCTAAAGTGGTGGTCTTCTTGAAGTTTTCTAATGTGTGTGCTTCTTCTGTGTCTAATGTTTCCACTTTTCTGAGTTTTACTAATAGATTCCTCTTATGTTTTTTCCTTCCGATCAGATTATTGAAAGAATTCTGGAGTTTTCTAGGCATCAGATGATGATTATTATGTCAGCTTATGATCCTTCATATCGTGCTGCAAGTAAACCAGCCGATAATGTGGTATTGGAAGGTTGTTTATCTGATTGCTCCTTGATTTGCTGCACATATTATGTTCTGACACATGTCATATTCTCCTCGGATCAGGAAATGAATTGTTACCGTGGTTATAACTGCATAAGATTGTGCCCTGTGACATGGTCTAGTGTGGTGTGATTAAATCCTCATCCTTCTTCCTGCTATAACATATTGATATGTGTATGATGTATAATCTCTAGGTGATGATGATGATGATCTTGATCCTGATATGGGTTCAGCCAACAAGAAGCGACGCCCAGTTAAAGGTGGCAAAGTGAAGAAGTCAGCAATGAACAGGTTTTCTTATTGTTGTGCTTTTTCCTTGCTGGAGGATGCACACTTTTTTAACCGAGTCTGAGATTTGGTTTCTCCTTGTATGCTTTATCTATTTGATAGGATCTCTGGAGCAGTGAATATTATACTGCAGAAACTCTGCACAATTCTTGGCTTACTGAAGGATTTGTTGTTGGTGGAGAGGTTGTCTGACAGTTGCATTTTACAGCTGTTAAGGACGAGTTTTACAACATTTTTGGTGGAAAATATCCAACTTCTGCAACTTAAGGCGATTAGCTTGATTGGTGGAGTAAGGCTATGCGTTTACTTCTTAACCTTTAGATTTTTCTGTTTCTGTCTGTTTGTTATGAAGAACAATGGCTTCCTGCCAGTGATGTTCTTTAATAAGTTTTTAAGGCACTTTTTTTTCCCTTTGGTGCAGATATATTATTCATATACTCAACATCGAACTTATTTGGTGGAGGAAATATGTCAATTGCTCTGGAAATTGCCTTCCTCGAAACGAGCACTTAGAACATATCTCCTTCCTGATGAAGAGCAGAGGCAGATTCAAATGGTCACTGCATTGCTTGTTCAGTTGGTTCATAGCAGCACAAACCTTCCTGAAACCCTGAGACAAGCATCCAGTGGAAATCCCGTGCTGGATATTGCAGTGGATGCTGGTTATCTCACAAAATGTCATGAAGCTGCCACAGAGACATGTTGCCTTTTCTGGACACGTATACTCCAGCGACTCGCTAGTGTGAAGTCTCATGATGCTTCTGAGGTAAAAGTGGTAATCGAGAATCTTGTTACAGATCTATTGACGACACTTAATCTTCCCGAGTATCCATCCGCATCTCCAATACTGGAGGTAAAATCCCTGACACTTCCATTGTTGTTCTTAATATTTTAAGGTCTTCCCACTCTTAACAGATCATCGCTTTCAGGTTCTGTGTGTCTTACTGCTACAGAATGCAGGGTTGAAATCAAAAGATGTATCTGCTCGTTCAATGGCCATTGACTTGCTAGGTACAATTGCTGCGAGATTGAAGCGTGATGCTGTTCTCTGCAATAAAGACAAATTCTGGATATTGGAAGAATCAAACAGTGAAAATAGAGCTGACCACGTTCGCTCTAAAGACTGCTCTATTTGTTCAGGCGAAAGGGAAGGGAACTTATTGATTTGCCAAATTTGTAGAAGACTGTATCATGCTGATTGTATGGGGTTAAAGGACCTAGAAATTCCAAGTCAAAATTGGCAGTGTCCGTTTTGCATATGCAAGAGGCAACTTCTAGTATTGCAATCCTACTGCAAGTCAGAAACCACAAGTAACAGTAAATTGGACACAAATCATCAAGGAGAACCTGAAGCTCTCGATATGAATACGAAGACAGAAATAGTGCAACAGATGCTCTTAAATTACCTTCAAGATGCTGGATCTGCCGATGATGTGCATACTTTTATTTGCTGGTCAGTTTCTTGACTACTTTTATTCATGCACATTTTGCATTTAGGTTGGTGTGATATGAAGTTTCTGTTGTGCAGGTTTTATCTTTGCCTGTGGTATAAAGATGACCCAAAATCTCAGCAGAAATACAAGTTCTACATTGCTAGATTGAAAGCAAAGTCAATAGTCCGTAACTCTGGAGTAACAATGTCGTTGTTGACAAGAGAAGCTGTTAAGAAGATTAGTTTAGCTCTCGGACAAAATAGTTCTTTTTCCAGAGGATTTGATAAGATACTTCACTTGCTCCTGGTTGGTGAAATTGTTTTTATAGATTGTTTTTAGGGGGTTTTCATCTGGGTTCTAACTGGATCATTTGTTTCAGGCGAGTTTGAGGGAGAACTCTCCTGTAATTAGGGCTAAAGCTTTACGTGCGGTTAGTGAGCAAAGTTCTTTACCAGATTATTAGATTCTTGTTTCAAGTGTAACTTGAATTTTTTGGTTCTATTCTGATATTGTTCACATTTTTTTGGGTTGATTATAACAGGTTAGTATAATTGTTGAAGCTGATCCAGAGGTACTCTGTGATAAGCGTGTTCAGGTCGCTGTTGAGGGAAGGTTTTGCGACTCAGCAATATCAGTGAGAGAGGCAGCATTGGAACTTGTGGGTAGACATATTGCATCACATCCTGATGTTGGTTTAAAGGTAAATTGAATTGAATTTCCTCCATTGTTATTATGATATCATTCTCAATTTTATCTGTTTCCTTGCTGACCTCAAGAATTGATTTCCTGCAGTACTTTGAGAAGGTTGCTGAGAGGATGAAGGATACTGGTGTGAGTGTTAGGAAAAGAGCTATCAAGATAATACGTGACATGTGTACTTCAAATCCCAACTTCTCTGAATTTACAAGTGCTTGTGCTGAGATTTTATCTCGTGTCAGTGATGATGAATCTAGCATCCAAGTAATCTGATCGATTCTCTACATTTTACAGTCTGTTTTTTTAATAAATATATATATTATCACTAAGTCTTAGTGCTATACTATGTTAAAGACGGTCTATATTACAGTGTCAAGGTTGTTAGTTTCTTTTTAATTTCTGCTGTACTCGTCTTCTCTCTATTCATTTGTAGGATCTTGTGTGCAAGACGTTTTATGAATTTTGGTTTGAGGAACCTCCGGGGCACCAGACTCAGTTTGCTGGAGATGGTAGCTCTATTCCATTGGAAGTGGCAAAGAAAACTGAGCAAATGGTTGGGTTGTTGAAGAGGATTCCGAGTTACCAACCTCTTGTAGTTGTCATCAAACGTAACCTGGCTCTTGATTTTTTCCCACAATCAGCTAAGGCTGCTGGGATCAACCCTGTTGCTCTTGCATCAGTACGGAGGCGCTGTGAGTTGATGTGCCAGTGCTTACTGGAGAAGATATTACAGGTGCTCTCTATATACATCTCTGTTTATTGCCAGCTGCTTTGGAAATCATTTTAAATATCTTTCTCTGTTCTTAGGTCGAAGAAGTGAGCCGTGAGGAAGGAGAGGTTCAAGTATTTCCTTATGTACTTGTTTTGCATTCTTTTTGCCTGGTGGATCCTGGATTGTGCACTCCGGCGTCAGACTCTGCTAAGTTTGTTATCACCCTGCAGCCATATCTCAAGACTCAGGTTATGTATGGCTAACTCGGTTAAGATTCTTGTTTTCTTGCGTAAAAGAATGATCCAACAGGAAGAAACTTGCATATCATTCTTAGAATTGATTTCTGCAAAAGATAGTGTTGATGAGATTGAGAGGAATTGAACTATGACATCTCACGTCTTTGCATTATTTAGTTCTGACATACCCTGCTAAAGGTTTAGAACTCATCTGCTGAAAGTGTTGCTTATCCATTGTGCCTCCTGATTCTATTTCAGGTTGATAGCAGGATAGGTGCACAATTACTGGAGAGTATTATTTTTATTGTCAATTCTGTCCTACCCTTGATACGCAAGTTACCTTCGAGTGTTATAGATGAATTGGAGCAAGATCTAAAACATATGATCGTTCGACATTCTTTTCTGAGTGTTGTTCATGCTTGCATTAGGTAACCTCTTTGTTACTCAATTTTATTCTTCCTAGATTCTGCCACATTTTTTCTACGAGATGAATGACTTCTGTCCTCGTAACCATCATGTTGAATAGCTTTTTCCCTTTTCATCCCATGTTATTCACTATCTCTATTTTATTTTTTATGATTGAGTGTTTCTTCTCTTTATTTGGTGGGTTCGACCCTTCAAAATCCTAGGTGTCTTTGTTCTGTGAGCAAAGTGGCGAGAAAAGGTGCAAGTGTAGTCGAGCATCTTCTTCACTTGTTCTTCAAACGGCTGGAGATCCAAGGGCCTATAAATCCACAGGTAGTTTGCTTGAAAAAAGCATTTTGTGCAAAATATAATCTATTGGATGCAAATCCTTTCATGTTTGGGGTACAATTTATCTTTAATCTCAGTTATCGTGTATGATTTTGTACTTGCACCGTTCTCAGGGTCAATATGCCGTGTAGGTATGGTGCTTGTCTTTATGTATACGAGGGTGTATTTGCTCGTACAAGTGATTAAGTGTTTAGATTGATGGATAATATAAAAAAAACCCGGAGGAATTAATTCCAGGATATGCGTCTGTTAGGATTCCTGTTTTAGGCGCAATATGGTGTAAGTTCCTTATCCTTGTGTAGGACTGTAAGTGTTTTACTGGTAATGAGTTACTTAAATCCCATTTTCCCTCTAGCTTCGAGCCTACTATATGAATGACATGGTATATTGGTACTGTATTTGTTGTTGCTCAGTAGTGGTCATATTCATATTGGTCTCGTTTGAGTCGGTGTTTTTTGTTGGTCTTGACAAAACTAGTTAACATGTTGCGTGTTCATTGGGACCTGGATTAATTGGAAACTTAATGAGGGGATATTTCTGTCTACTTTTTTAGCTGGCTGGGCGGTCGCTTTTCTGTCTTGGCTTGCTTATCAGGCATGGGAACACGTTAATGAATCTTTCTGGTGGGAAGACCTTTGATGCTGCCAACTGTCTCAAGCTGTTCAAAATATATCTCCGTACGGAGGATTTTGGTTTGAGAGTCAGATCCATGCAGGTATACTCCTTCAGTCTTGACCTCTTGTGATTAATTTTTTATATTGCAACGCGCTGGACAGTGATTGCGTCACATATGCTAACCATTAATTTGTTGCAGGCGTTGGGTTACTTTCTTATTGCTAGACCTGAGTATATGTTAGACGAAGACATTGGAAAGATAATAGAGTCTTCATTATTGTCGGAGGCAAATGTTCGTCTGAAGGTACTGCCATCAATGGGCTTCTTCTTGTTAAATTATAGATGTATTTTTTTTGTTCTCAGGTGATGTGTGTTTAATTCTTTTACTATGTTCATTCCCCAGATGCAAGGGTTGCAGAACATGTACGAGTATCTTCTCGACGCAGAAAATCAATTGGGATCGGATAAAGCCAATGACAGCACAGTTAAACACACCGAGCAAGGTGGTCAGGCTGTTCCCGTGGCTGCCGGTGCAGGTGATACGAACATTTGTGGAGGCATTGTGCAGTTGTATTGGGATAAAATATTGGGGAGATGCTTGGACTTTGACGATCAAGTTCGTCAGACTGCGCTCAAGGTTTGTTATTCCATTCGTAAAGTCTTTGCTTCAGTTTCTGCTGTCCTACATGAAACTGATGGAAACTATGGATGTTGTGCAGATTGTGGAAGTTGTTCTACGGCAGGGTCTTGTTCATCCTATTACCTGTGTTCCGTACCTGATTGCCTTGGAGACAGATCCTCTGGAAGCAAACCAGAAACTGGCACATCATTTACTGATGAATATGAATGAGAAGTATTCTTCATGAATTGAATTTGCATTTCTTGTTGCAAAATAATTTCGTGAGCTGACTAGCATTAAATTTTACGACAGGTATCCTGCTTTCTTTGAAAGCCGTTTGGGCGACGGACTTCAGATGTCATTCATCTTCATGCGATCCATGAGCCATGTCCCTCAGGGAGCTAACCAAAATCCACAGCATAAGGGTTGTTCCACAGACATGAATGGGAAGTCTGATAATAGTAATTCTCTAACGCAAGCCAGACTTGGAGTGTCTCGGATCTACAAGCTGATTCGAGGAAACCGGGTTTCTCGAAACAAGTTTATGTCTTCAATTGTCCGCAAGTTTGACAATCCAACCTGGAGTGACACAGTAGTACCCTTCTTGATGTGAGTATTCCTGTGTCGCACTATACGACTCCCACTCCCATTCTTTCTACAGTGTAAAACACTAATCCACTCCCTGCTTTCTTTCCATAGGTATTGCACTGAAACCCTTGCCCTCCTTCCATTCACAACGCCTGATGAGCCTCTTTATCTTATATATTCCATAAACCGAGTAGTACAAATCAGGGGTGGTGCAATCGAGGAGAATTTGAAAGCTTTGCTGCGTAAAGATTCAGCAAAGACACCAAAAGGGAATGGGACCTTCCACCAAGAATGTGGTCCATTTCAGACCATTCCCGTCCATATAAATGTGATGGATTTGAATGCAGGAATCCAGGAAGAACAAGTGCAATGGCAGCCTTCCTTTGGATATCCAACGTCAATCGATCTCAACGGAGCAGTCTACCAAGATCCCACTGGTCAGTTCAGTTCATGTCAGACATCAAACGAGGAAAGCAAGGTGCATGTGATGAGTTCTGCAGATCCTAGTGAATTATCCAACGATGACCTGCAGAAAATTCAGGTAACTGTCTATGGGAATTTACAGTTAAAATTTGCCCAAATGATATGAACTCTCGATGTATTTCAGACTTATTGTTGTTTATTTTCAGGTTGATTGTCTGGCAGCTACAGCAGTGCAACTCCTTTTGAAGCTCAAGAGATACCTGAAAGTCACGTATAGTCTGGATGATGCCCGATGCCAGGTATTTGGTTTTGTTCTTTCAACGATTAAAAACCAGGGGGTGGGTTTACTGTTTTCCCTTGAATATCAGAAGAGTGTAATTTACGATTCTTTCACGTTGAGTTGATGAAAAACAGGCGTTCTCTCCAACGGAACCCTTGAAGGCTGGAGATGCTCTCTCCAGGCAGAACGTCTCCTTTGACATCAGTGAAACCCGTACTGACCTTCCATCAACGTATCAAGACTTGGTTCACAGATATCAGGTAACGAATGAGTGCACAGACTTTTGTGAGACTTAAATATTATCCTCTTCACAGGTCATATATAGCAGTGTGTTGCGTGCGGTATCATTTCCGTGCTTCTTCCTTGGTGACAGGAGTTCAAGAACGCGATGAGGGAAGACACGATCGACTATACGGTGTACTCTTCAAGCGTCAAAAGAAAACGGCCGACAACACGGCCAACGCCAAGGAAAGGGTCAAGATCTAATAGAAAAACGGTGACGTACAATGAAGGAGATGATGATGATGACGACGACGATGAGGACTATGGAAGAGCGAACGGCTGGAGCGAGGGCGGGACGGCTAGGAGGCTCAGTTACAGCACCAGAACTAGAAGTAAGTATCAGCAATAGGGAGGGGAGGTAGGGAGGTTGGTCAGATTTCATTTTGTTATTAATATTTTACTGTACATAATAAGAACGAAAAGTCCATTGAAGTTAGGCTACTACCACTCTTAACATTTTGTACAGTCTGAAACACACACCCCCCAAAAGAAAATAGAAAAACACGGTTAGGAAACTTTAAAGCCTGATGATCAGGCAGGCAACTGGGGGAAAGGGACATTTTTGGTCCTTTTATTTTTTAATCTTTCTTGGGGGGGTACTGTCTCACGCTTGTTAGGATGGCATCAGTTTCTATCTATGGTTTGATTCCATTGTTTTGTTTGGGAAAACAAGAAGCTTCGGTGGTTTTGTAGCGTACGTCTCGTCTCCTCTTCTGATTATCCAACAATTAACAGGGTAATCAATTCGAAGAGCATTTCACATTGGGTCTGATTTCAAATACTGGATCTCTTACTTTGGGCTTAGCCCATCACATATTTCCTCTGACCCGACCCAATCTGACGTTGCTAAAAGTTTAAACAAGTGGCAAAAAGACTGATAAAATTCTTGGTCCGTCACATGCCCCACAAACTAGGGATTAAATATGCAGAAATGAGATGGGTTCTAATGTCAAAAGCCTTGAGAACGCCATTAAGCCCCAATTAGTGAGCGCGGCTTATGCTTTACATACACATAGTCCCGAGATCTCTCTCAGCTCCAATGGTCGAAACAAATTAGATAAAAAAAAAAAGATCTCTGGCTTGTTCTAGTGGCAGTTGAAACCACTGAAGAGAGTAACAAAGAGTACTTGACACTTATTTCACTGGCCCCGCCACATTGGGATCTTTGAAAATTATAGTGTCATTGTAAACAAAAAAACCAAAGAGACAAAGAAGCCAAAAATTATGAATCATACATCATCATCACCTGCTCTTATGCCCTCCGAGGGACACTGGAGGGCTGGATCCCGAGTGGGATTCGATGATAGACAGGAAGGGAAGGAAGCGTTCTGTTTCAGACAACCGAAACTTTTGAGAGATAAAACAGTGAGAAGAGGGCAATGATAAAATTGGGTGACTTAGTAGCGGTTCCAGTAGGTTCTGCGTCTGAACCAGTTGTAGTCTGGCAATCCCTGGATTGGGCCGATCGCTGAGATCGCTATGTCCTGCAAAATCCCCACCCATTATGACACTCATCAAATTTCACGGCTCTACCTAAAAATGCTGGGATGGGAGGGTGAGAGAAAGTTCAGGAATAACTGACCCTGTCATAAATATATCTGTTGGCAACACGTTTGACAGTGCTGGCATCAACTGCATCGATCCTAGCAAAAAGCTCAGGACTCGGGATCCTACGGCCATAAGTTAGCAGCTGCCAATAACAAATAGGACCCTCAGTGAGACAAAAACTGGATCCGTTTCGAATTGAGAGTGTCAGGCTGAGACCATTCAAGAAAACAGCTGTTAAGCTAACAAGTCTGCTGGTAAGTAAGGAATCTTTATAAGTTATAGCCCATGTTTTGAGCTTAGAGAGCCTTATGTGCTACATGGCCATTATTAAGCCCGAGAGAATGACCGATAGCTTCTTGTTTCAAAATTTTTTACAAATATAATTAGAGGGCCAAGCCTATAGCTTTGCTTGACTAATGGCCAAGACAAGAGAAGTCATACCTGACGTCCAATATCTTCAGCAATAGGGCTAGTTCCATCCATGTGAAGCAACAAGGATGATTTCAGCTACAAAAGGATCGATAAACTTAATAATCAGCCAATGTTGAACTCCCATATACACTCACAGATTAAGGATGCGAGAAAGAGCTAAATTTGAACATTAGCTCAAGAACAATCAGCACAATCACTGCACATCAGGCAAAAGAATATTGGTCTTTACCTGATTACGTGCACGAGTCACATCAGCTTCAGAAACACGGTACGCTAACTTGGTCACCTCATACATAATGGCATACGCTAAATCATCCAAGCAGTCAGGCTAGGAAACAAATCACAACAATTAAAAAGATATATATAAAGTGACAAAATTAGTATTTGGATATTCCTAGAGATGTCACGAGAAGGCAGCTCATCCCAGTCTCACCTTAGCAACGGCATAAACACCAAAGAGTCCAGTATCCTTGTAGTTGGTGTTGAATGCCATTATGCTTTCCGCTATTTCATTGATGGCAACCCTTTGGGCCAGCTCAGAACTTCAAATAGAGATAAAAAAACTATCAATACAGATTGTGAGAAAACTTTCACCTCACCCAGAGGCAAACCATATCAGCATGGATAAAAGTCATACCCCATGTGTTTCCCCCCACCAACGTTTTTGTTCCAAGAACCTAACATGGTTTGCATAACCATAAGAGCGACAGAGTCCGGATCTGTCCAAGATGCACCTTCAAATGCAACAACGAATTGCGCCAGGGGCAGGTCATCATCAATCATTCGGACCTATATAATAATTCGAAGGCCCAGAAAATTTAGAAGGCGCAACGTCACAGAATCAAAAGAGAAACCAGGGATCTATATCATATCCATACCTCAGAACCTGTAAAGTTTGCAGGTTCCTTTGAAACCAACTGAGTAGTAGTCGTTGGATCAGCCGACAACTTTGTAAACAATTTCTTCACTTGCTCAACAACTTCCTCATGTTTGACAGCTCCTGCAGCAGCAATCACCTGAGCCAAGTTTTTTGAGAAATGATATGAAAAACTTGTAACATAGTCCAGAATTAACAGGAGAAGGTGATATGGAAAACAACAAAAAAGAATGTTCATGGCTAACAGGATTACCATCCTCGGAGCTGTGTAGTGTGTCTTTATGTAGTTCTGAAGATCCTCTCGGGTGATTGACTTGACATTCTGAGCAGGTCCCAAAATAGTTCTTCCAAGCGGCGTATATTGGAAGGCAGTTGCATGCAAATGGTCAAGAACAACTTCATCCATTTGACCCTCAACCTACAACATGACCAATTACAATGAACTATTCAAAAAACCCAACACAGATAAGTAGTTGACGGTTTACATGTATCTGTCCATGTGTGTTGTAAATTGCTGGTTGATACAACTAAACCGAGGAGCCCAAAAATATTCATCTATGAAGAAATTTATCAAGCACGCAGCTTTAACAATCGCCGTCCAGAGACGAAAAAGGACTTTAATACTGAGAAATCCAGCATCTTAGACTAAACATCTCAAAGAATCAACTCACTTAACTGTGACCAAAGCACATTCCCAAAAAAGGGACATAATTCGAAGCCATAACGCAGCCAGCCAGTGATAAAACTCAAGAGTAACAAACTAATCACATGCCTGTCACCATCGAGATAGAAACGTTAAGAAGAAACAAGATCCATCAATGCGAACAAGGCCCCTATCCACTAAACACTTGAAATCTCGTTCATGACAGCAAATAAGTCATCACCAAGCAAGCCCACAGTGGTGGTAATGCAAGAGAATTAATACATAAAAAATAGCATCATCACCATTTAGCAACCATAAATCAAGAACATGAGAAAGTTACAATTTTTAAACAAAAAAACAATAAATAGTATACCTCCTGCATTTCCCTCAGGATCACGTCCCGCTCCCGGTTAATCCTCTGTTCGTCGAACTTCGAGTTCTGCAATATATCTGCCAACACATCTAGCGCCTGGTTCACATCCTTATCTAACACCTTAGCATAGTAAGTGGTTTGCTCCCTCGATGTATAGGCGTTCAGGTGGCCGCCTATATCCTCGATCTCTTCTTCCAATGCTTTCACTGTGCGCCTCTCCGTGCCCTTGAATATCATATGCTCCAGGAAATGAGCTGTACCGTTCGTCTCATCCGACTCGAACCGCGATCCAGCATCGATCCAGACCCCGACAGTGGCGGTCTTCGCAGCGAGATTGGACTCGGTTGCGACCCGGAGACCATTGGGCAAGGTCGTAACACGAGTCTCCGGCGCCGAAAGTATGTGGTTGTGCGTGGTCAGAGTCGGGTGAGGAGATGCGTATTTGAGGAACCTCGGATCCGGATTCTCTAGCTTCTTGAGCTTCGATTTCACGATCTCCGCCGCGCGGTCATATGGCATAACATGCGGCGGAGGAGGCGTCTGGGTCGCCGGGGATGTCGACGGCGACGCGGAGGCGACGGCTGAGGCCGATGAGGCCGATCTCACGGCCTGATTGAGAGACAGACGTCTCTGCGACCGATGAGCTAGGGTTAGGAGATGTTTCATCGCCATGGTTGATGGCTTCTCTCGCTCTCTAGGGTTTGATCAGTACCAAAATGGAGGAAGACAATCGGAGAGAGAGAACTCAAGATGCGGACTAATAGTATTAGCCAGTGGTTTGCAGCGCCAAACGATGACGTTTCTCGATCACCATCGAACGACACCGTTTTTAGAGTCAGCCCTATATGGGCTGATAGTGGGCCTAACTGATACCTTATACGGGCCGGGTCAATCGGGTCAGATGTGGAGCCAGATCTGAAACCGCTCGGGAGAAAACCCTAATTGGAAAAAGCCCTGACCATATATATACAATCAGAATGAAGAATAAAACCCTAGCTTAGCAGAGAGAGGGCGAGGGATTCAGTTGTTGAACTCCAGACGAAGATCAGGGCCTTTTCTGTTTCTCGTCCTCGAGCTTCTGTTCTTTGACAATGGCGACTGGTAAAACTGTGAAAGACGTCTCACCTCACGATTTCGTGAAGGCCTATGCTTCTCACCTCAAGCGATCTGGCAAAGTTAGTACCTCTATTGTGTTGAAATTTCTCTATTTCTCTATTTAGTTTCCTTTTCCTATTATGAGCAATTTCCAGGAACATGTCTAGATAAAGTCTGGGGTTTTTTTTTTTTTTACTTTCCGGTGGAATTTGTCACTGATAGTGGAAAATTCGAATTTCGTAACTTTGTGCCATGGAAGAGTTTATTCTTCGTTCGAGCTTCTTGCATGAACTTTATTTGAGTTGGTATCTTGTGAATTGGTGAAGCCATGATTATCTATTAGGGGATTTTGGTTGCATGATTATCCAAGTTTAGGTTCCTGGTTTGTAAATTTGTTCATAGGCCAAATGCTTGAAATTTGTTTCTTGAATCATAGTTTTTTTTTTGTTGCTGTTTTTGCTTCAGATTGAGCTCCCTCCATGGACAGATATTGTGAAGACCGGCACTTTAAAGGAGCTTGCCCCTTATGACCCTGATTGGTACTACATCCGAGCCGGTAACTCTCTCTCTCTCTCACAGTTAATGCCTGTAGATGATTCGGTGCGTGAATGATGGATTCTTCGCTGCAGCATCAATGGCAAGGAAGATCTACCTTAGGGGAGGTCTTGGTGTGGGTGCTTTCCAAAGAATTTACGGAGGGAGCAAGAGGAACGGAAGCCGTCCACCGCACTTTGGCAAGAGCAGCGGTGCCATAGCCCGACACATTCTTCAGCAGTTGCAGAACATGAACATTGTTGAGCTTGACACCAAAGGGTAAAACACCTCAACTCAAGCCATCTTGAACTCCGAGGACTTAATTGAACCCGAAGATCCTAACCCTTTTGTTTCACCGTATTTTTCACAGTGGAAGGAGAATCACTTCAAGCGGTCAACGGGATTTGGACCAGGTTGCTGGTCGCATTGCCGTTGCACCTTGATATGGTCTGAACGACTGTAGGACTATCATCACATATGCACTCAGAAAGAAAGTTCAGGATTTTTTGGGTTTTGGGGGGGTGTTTTTAAGAGTTTCACTGTCTTATGTTGTTGTTCTTCACGAACCCTTTTGGCATTTAAGATGATCGAAGTTTTGGCATCAACAGAGATCTGGCTGTAGGAACTATGAGATAATCTTAGTTGTAGTGGCTATGGCCGAAGGGAAATTTGCCAAGTTTTCCCAATTTGCCTATTCTTATTTCTGTTTCTATGCATATAAGAAAGAACATAACATGCACATGGTGTATGTTGGATGCAAAGATAGTTTACCAAACTGTACCGGACTTAACTGGAAGAAACCTGGATTCTCTACTTGATTGTCCAAAACTTGCAACTGTCGGTTGCTTTGACAAATCTATGATACAAGAAGAAGAAAGTTTGAAAAGGGGACAGAAAAGATTATTTAATGAATGACAAAATTTAAGGCAAACCGTAGAGAGTTTTAGTAGTCACAGGTGTAGGAAGATCCAGTTTCGGTCCAAGCCGATGAAATGCTGCAACACCTGATCTTCTTGTGTTGGGGTATGTGAAACCTTGGCTCTCGGGCTATGGTCGGATGTTTCATTGACCTTACACCAACAGAGCATATGGCTTTCACTTCAATTCTCTCTAATACACACTTTGTGTAATCCTTCGAGACAAATAGGGGCAAAGGGCATTTATGTATTTTTACCAGTCTTGTACCTTCGAGGAATGAATGGTCGATCGAAGTATGGCATTGGCTGAGCCTTTGGGATCAACTCTTTTCTCAGCCTTCGTATCTCTTCTTCTTCTTCCAACTACAAGAACACAGCAGCAGATATGATCGTATCAGCAAAATCTGCAACTAAACAAGCAGAGCAATAACCAGCAGATAACTTGCCTTCTGCTGTCGTTCTCTTTCCATTTTGTATTGCCCTACTAGACTCATCTTCTCGGCAATCTAGTTGCGCAAATTCGCCATAACAGCATCAAGAATTTAGGAATGTCATGGGACAATTTTATTGCAACCTTATGATGAATAGTAGATAAACCTCCTTATATGATATCTATGCCATGAGTCATCTAACAGTATCAGCTTTAGATAATGAGATGATAGCCAAGGCCCAACTAAGTATAAGCTTCAGCTGGAATGGTCTTATCTCTCCATCATTGTGATTATCATAAGAAATCCTAACAAAGTTGTAAAGATATTTTGATAACAAGATTTTACCTGGTGATCAAATTCTGCCCGTTCTACTGCCCTCATGTCACTGTGGAGCTTCAAGTCCACTGGTTTTGTGATCTCTTTCACCGGAGGCTTAACCAAACACTGGGATAAGGAACCGCATTGGAATCCTAAAGTTAGCTCACTACAATGTCGATATATACACCAAACATTAACAAGATCCTCCCCAACCAACCATTGTTTGAAGGATCAGCCAATTTTAGCTACAATGGCAGAAGAGAGAATTTCAAACAATCCCTTGACGCTTATCATGTAACTTCCTTTCTGAACTTGTTTGATCGAACTTAATGATATTGAGGAAAAGCAAAGGCTGCTCACCTCAGGCTCATCAGTTGTCAATGGAACACCTTGAGCAATGGGGATTCTCATCTTTTCTTCCTCTACCACCATCTCCTGGAGCTTCTTCACAAACTCTTCTTCCTTTGTTCTTCCCCGTTGCTGGAGAGAAATAGAAGATGAATCAGCAAGTCAGACCTAAGGTTTTTTTCCCCCCAATGACAAAATGCTTTTATCTTGTGCTAAGAAGGACCTACCTCAGTTCTGAGGTTGAATGGTTTCAGCAAAGTGACTTTAGCCGGTTTTTTCTTCAATCCTCTTCTTCCCATTTTTCCAGAAGAGTCCAGGCTCTGTGATGGAAATGTAACGTCAGCTGACTCTATCTAAATTGTTCCAACCTTGTGAGCCTTGCAGCATGATTTTGCAGGAACGTATTAACAAACATCAATCCATCAACAAATAGATTCATGAGCTGAAATACCTTTATCGCAATCTAGAAGATACTATGGAATGGAACAAAACATTATGCATCAAATGAACTCACAAGTCATAACAACACAAGAAGAAAGAGATGAACATACGTTTCTTCTGCTACTCCTGCCGCCGTTGGAGCCTCTACTTGAAAAACTGTTGCGCCATTGAGTGAAACAATTCAGAACAAGTACGCGCACAATCATCATAATAAGAGTTAGGAAGTCAAAAGTAATCAGTTGAAGTACAAAAGAACTAACCTGCTGCGGCTGCTATCCCATGATGAAGAAACCGAGGCACTCCGGTCTAACCCGAGATTCTCTGCTGTTAAAACCAAATCAGACGGACAAAATGAAGAACTCCATGAGACTTGCTCTGTCTCCGCCTCCGCCTCTAGCACATTAGGCTGCTGTGTCATTCCAGGCAATTCCCATTTCATTGGTTTCTTCACATTGTCTTCTGTTTGGTGTTCGCTGTTGTTGCCTGCCTTCGGAAGCTGTAAGCAGGAAAGTTTCTCGAATGCTTCGACGAGCTGCATCACGTTCCCTGATTCAGGCACACTTTGTTGGGCTAAGTCCATAAGCTTTTCTCTTCTCCTCTTCATAATAGACATCCCGATTTTGCCCGACTCACCGGATATTTTTTCTTCTCCTTTTGGGTTCCCGACATGGAATCCATAGACATCCTCTCCAACCTCAATATTTCGATCCGAATGATCGCATTCTTGTGCAGCGGCGGAATCCAAATCTCCTTGTTCTTCCTCTGTTTCGCTTCGTTTTTGGTAAAACTCTTCTTGCGAAGCCCGAAGAGTTTCATACGCGACGCACAAACACTTCTTCATGTTGCCTTTGGACCTCACTCCACACTTGCAGTCAACCTCCGCAGCCACTGCATCTTTCTTCTCCTTCCTCGAATTCTTCTTCGCCACCACAAACCTCCTCTCAGTGATCCGATTCCGAGACGAGAAAACCGACGCAATAGGGTTGGGGTTAGGGTTCGGATTCCTCTGCGACTTGGCTGACTTTATGAGCGGAGATCTGGCAGATTTCGTGATCGGAGATCCAAAGGATCTCGACGGACTCGCATGTGGAAAGTTAGGGTTTGAATTCTCCAAAGATCTAGAAGAAATGTCATGGAGCTTCGACTGGAACTTGGTCGAGTCCTTGGACGGAGTCCGCGGCTTCGTATTCTTCAAAATGGACGATTCCATCTTCGGTGGAAAACAAGGAAACGAACCACGAATCGGAAGA